CCACTGCTAGTCCCCCCTCTCTTCATCTTTTTCTCCCCTCTCCCAGCCCCTTGGGGGAGGGCCTGGATCTCCGGGGTCACCGGAGCAGCCAGCTGTGGATGACAGGAGACAAACACTTTGACACACACATACACTTCACCCTAGGGACCACCTCTTACAGTCCGCATTGTCCAGGAGGGGAGGGGGACCCTGCTCGAGGAAGGGGGCTAAGGGGAGAGGGCCCTAGACGTGCCAGAAGTCACTAGACAATCACCAAGCCCCCCAGGGGCTAGAACCCTGGAACCTCGGCCTCTAACCTCCTCCGAGAGCACCTCTCTCAGCCTGGGTGCCAACCAACGTCAATATCTCTCACCCAAACAAGCCCCTCCCTCTTTAAGTCCCCTCCCCCTCCCCGGCTGGGGATCAGTAGCCCAGAACACCAAGTGACGACCGTCCCCCACAAGATGATGGCAAAGGCGTGAGATTTCATTTTCAACATGACCCCACAGAGCACGAAAGGCGGGGGCGAGCTCCTGGCAGGCTCAGACGGGGTACGGGAAGGGGTCTCCGGGGAAGTGTTTGAAGCTACTCCTCCAGCTGGTCCAAATCCGGAAGGGGTTGGTGGAGGGAGGAAGGCGGGGGTGGGGAGAGCGCGACCTTAAGCGCTCTCTGGCAGCTAGGAGGTGGGCAAAGGAGGTGTCGGGGGCTGCGAGTCCCCTGGGAGGCTGCGCTCCCGGGAAGTTTCCCACCCACTGTCCGAGCCAGCACAGGGTGCTCAGACTGGCTCTCCAAGGCCGCCCAGCTCCCGGGCAGCCTAAGAACTTGAGCAAAAGTCTCCTTCCCCAGGCAACCCTCACTTCCCCCTCCGTGGCGCCCAGCTCCGCCATCTCAACCCCACGCCTGTAACCGTACCACTACCGCCAAGACCTCTCACCTAGGCACTGTAGAGGAAGAAGATGGGGGGGGGGTGCCCCCCAGCACAACCAAACTACGGTGTAAAAAAATAATAATATTAAGAGAAATCTCTTTTCCTGCGATGCATTTCCTCAACCGGATTAGAAACACCCACCCCCGAGCAGGGAAAAACAACAACTCCAGCTCTGACCCAGGCGCTGGGGACGGGTGCCCGACCGTACGGACGGCCCGGTGGGCGCAGGTCTCAGCGGGGCAGGGGCCGGGAGACCCCCAAAGACACAAAGCTCCCGCCGCCAACAATACCTGCGGGCTGCTCCTGGGTCTCGCGGCTCGCAGTCTCGCGTCCCCCACCGGGTCTCTCTGGACTCCGTGCGCGTCCTTTCGCTCGCCTCTTCCCGAACGAGACGGCCAGACGAGGTCCTTGGGAGGAAAAAAAGGTGAGCGCTCGCGGCGCGCTTCCTTTCTCTGCCGCCCGCCGTTCGCGGCGGCCCAGGCTCGCTCCTTTCTCCCTCCCGTTCCCGCGCACGCCGCGCCTCGCACCCCGCGTTCCCTCT